ACTCCACACATTCCAATGCTACTCTGGGGAAGTCTTCAACACATAGGTATTTAACTGACATTTAATATCCCAATTACAGCAGACCTAAATAGACAATTCTCCACAGACTGGGTGATAGCCAGCAGCCTTCTGAAAAGGTGCTCAACATGACTAATCATCAAACCTATAGTGAGATACAACCTCATACTTCTTAGAGAGGCCACTATCAAAAAGACAAAAGATAAAAACTGTCAGTGAGGATGTGGAAGAAGGGAACTCTTTCATATTACTGGTGGGGATGTAAACAGGTACAGCCATTATGGAACACAGTATGAAGTTTCCTCAAAAAAAAGAAAAATAGCACTATTATATTATCTAGCAAATCTCCCTTCTAGGTATATAACCAAAGGAAACGAAATTAGTATTTGGAAGAGGCGGCTGCACTCCCATGCTTATTGCAGCACTGTTTGCAACAGCTAAGAAATAAAAACAATCTAAGTGTCCATAGATGGATAAACAGATAAATAAATACATGCATACATACACACAATGGAATATTACTCAGCTTTTAAAAAGAAATCCTGTCAAAAAAAAAAAAAAGAAATCCTGCCGTTTTTTACAACATCTGTAAACCTGAAGTACATTATCCTAAGTGAAATAATAACCAAAAAGAAAAATATTGCATGATCATGCTTACATGTGGAATCTAAAAAGATTGATTTCATAGAAGCAGAGTAGGGGGTGGTTACCAGGAGTGAAGAGGAGCATGGAAGAAATGGGAAATGTTGGTCTAAGGGTATAAAGTTTGAGTTACATAGGATGATTAAATTCTAGAGACCTTAGAACAGCATGGTGACTACAGTTAATAATACTCTATTGAGAGCAGATCTTAAATGTTCACAAGCAGTAACTGTATCAGGTGATATGTTAATAGCTTGACTATTACATGTATATGTATATTAAAACACCACACTAAATACCTTAAATACATAAAACAATTTTAATTTAGAAATTACCAGATTCTTAAAGGGGAATAAGGCAACTAGGCAAACTAAGAATGGAAGGGAACTTCCTCCATCTCATAGTGTCTCCATGAAAAAATCTACAGCTAACATTATACTTGATGAAAAAGAATGAATGTTTTCCTCCTAAGAGTAGGAACGAGGAAGGACGTCAGCTCTCACCTTCCTAGCCAGTTGTAATTTGGAGGAAGAGGGTGGAGGAGCCCAGGAGAGTGAACAGATTGGAAAGAAGGTAAAACTGTCTTTAGTTGCAGTAACAGGTTAGGTAGATAATCCTAAGGAATCTACATAAAATCTACGTAATACATGAGTTTAACAAGATCACAGGATACATCTGATTTTTGATATTCACCTTGTGTTCTACATACTAGCAAAACACCATTAGATACTCAAATTGCAAAAATTCTATTTATAATAATAAAAATATGAAATACTTGTGGACAGTTTAAGCAAATCATTATAAGACCTGTCTTATGAAAACTGCAAAACACTGCTGAGAGAAATTAAAAGAAGATACAAATAAATGGAGACTTGAAACATGCTCAGAGTCTGGAAGACTTAGTAGGAAGTCAATTCTCTCCAAATTGATTTATAGATTCAAAGTCCCAATCAAAACCCTGGCAAGCACTTTTGTAGGAAAGCACATTCTATAATTTACATGAAAATGCAAATAACTCAGAATAGCCAAAACAACTTTGAAAAAGAACACAGTTGGAGGAATTATACTACCTGATTTCAAAAATTACAACAAAGCAAAAGAAATCAAGAGTGTGTGTGATTGCAGTAAGGAGACACACAGGTCAACAGAACAGAAAAGAGTCTAGAAATAAACCAACACAATAGTACTTAGCAAACACTTTCAAAAGGTACCAAAGTAATTCAATGATGAAAAGTGGGCTTTTCAATAAATGGTCCTGGAATAATTGATCTCTATATGCCAAAAATAAACCCAAATCCCTAACTTTCATATTAAAAATCAATGCGTACTTAAAAATTACTTTTAAAGTAAACTCCCTAAGATCCATGATTACATTCCATAACATTGCTTTAGTTGAGGGAAAGAAAATATTTTATACAAAATAAAAAAATATTAATACTAAAAATTTAATAATAGACCATAGTTCTAAATACAAAGCTACAATTATGTAAAATTTCTAGAATAAAACAGAAAATCATCTTTGCAATCTTGGAATACATGAAAATTTATTTGCAATCTTGGAATAATGAAACTTTATTAAGTAGCATACAAAATGCATGAAAAACCTGGACTTCAAAAGTTTTAAATTATCTTTAAAAGATACTAAACAAAAACAAAACAAAAAAAATCCTGGGGGGGCCGGGAATGCAGTTCAGTGGCACAGCACCTGCCTGGCAAGTGCAAGGCTCTGAGTTCGATTCACGGTCGTAAAAAAAAAAAAAGAAAAAAGAATGGAACTCTGAAAAATAGGTTTGCAGTTTCTCATAAAGTTAAAGAGAGATATTCCATATGACCCAGCAATTCCTCTCTTGGGTAGTTACCAAAGAAAAAGAAAAACACATGCCCATACAAAGACTTAGCAGCATTATTCATAATAATCAAAAAGATGGAAACAATCCAAACATACATCCATCAAAAGTTGAATGAGTAAATTAGGCTTATTCACACCATGGAATACTGTTCAGTAATGGAAAGATATGATAATGAAAGGAGTGAACTACTGATAGTGCACAAAATGGATGAATCTCAAAAGCATTATGCTAATAGAAGAAGCCAGATATAGAAGACTATATTATATTGTATGACTCTGTTACATGAAATTTGAGTAAAGGCACAGAACTGTATGAAAGTAATGCATATGTGAATTAGCTAGAGATAGTCACTGCACAGTGTACATATTCTTCAAAAATGTTAAACACAAGGGCTGGGGATTTAGCTCAGTGGTTCCGGCGCCTGCCTCCCAAGTGCAAGGTCCCGAGTTCGATCCCCAGTACCAAAAAAAAAAAAAGGGAGAAAAATGTTATACACAGTAAATACACACAATTTACCCATCAACTGAAAAAACAGGTATATTTTTTAAATATCTGTTTAATAAAGAAAAGGCAAAACGATAGTGCCAGCAGATCAGTGGCTGCTGAGTGCCGAGGATGGGCAGAGGAGCCTTACTGCGAAGTGTGCACAGAAGTGCTGGATCACCTGGAAAGACCTCCACCATGATTGTGATGGTGGTTATTCCACATAAATTATACCTCAACAAAGATAATTTTAAAAGGATATTTTAAAGGCATTTTAAAAAGTGTTACTCAATTTAGCAATTTAGTGAAGACCATCTCAAAATAAAAAATAAAAAGGGGCTGGAGCCATAGCTCAGTGCAAAGTTCCTGGGTTCAATCCCCATTACCCCCGTCCCCAGCATAAAGAAAAATCAACAAAAAAACCCTCAAGAGAGAAATATATATATGCACACAACGTGCATTAAATTGTAGAGTTAGAGTTACCCTTATATTTCTCAATAGTGGGTATCTTAACATCTGATAAACTTTTAACAGCAGTGCAGACATCATTCCACCTATGATACAAAGTAACCTCTACCAGTGCACAGCACTCACAGAGGGGACAGAAGGGGCAGAGACAAAGCACTGGGGGGAGCCTTGCACCTGAGGAAGCCAGACTGCACCTGTGCCACCATTCAGGAAAGACCCATGACATTGCCAGGGAGAACTAGCCATGCATTAGGTGCCCCTCAGTTGGGAGTGTCCCTTCCTAGCAGCTACAGAAACCTCATCTCAGAGGGCGGATGGAGGCACTGATGGTGCCAATAAAGCAAAGCAGTGCAACTGAGGCTGCAGTTCTAAAAGTTGCAAGGAACACAAAGATGGCTTTGTGGGTCACTTCACACTCACTGACAAGGCTGTTTCAGTTAAGTGGAAGAATGAAGCATCACAATACACACACGTGGGATGCTACCATGGTGTAATAAGACAGTCACCAAAATTAATGTTTTTTAAATGTATTTGGCCCATTTGCTTATAGCTGTTTCTCCTCAATGATGATATTCGTTGACAGCAGGGATTTCTCTTTGCTGCTCACTGATATCCCTAGCAACCTCCAAAATGCCCAGCATATTCTAATTGGTCAATAAATATTTGTTAAATGAATAAATTATGACCATATAGACATCCAGCAAATAGTTGTTATGAACGCATTCGGTCTGTGTGGACAGTTTGTCCAGCTAAATGATGCAGTAACTTTCTACAGTCTTTCCTTTCTTGTGTAACTTCTTTGGAAGTTAATGATTGTCCTATTTCTTGATTCATTTTGTTTCTACATAACCTAAACTTTCAAGCAAAGTGGTTCTTATTTTCACTTTTACATATTACTTCATTGAGAAATTTCCTTAAAATAAACAAATAAATATTATATATATATACACACACATATATATTTGGAATAAAGAACAAATATATCTTTATAAAATTAGGAGATTTATGAAGGACTCCATCAATTAAAAACAATGTGCTTTGTTTTCTTTTAGTTATCCCTCTGTATCTGCTGTTTTCTCTATCTGGAAAACCCTCCCTAGTCTTCTCTTTAAGTCTAGCCTGTCTTCAAATCAATCTCCCCAATTAAGAACACTTTTTTATACTGGTCAATTTTAATCCTTTGATCTACTCTGATCCTGTAAACCCTAAATTCTTGAGGGAAGGTAATATTCAGTATGCTGCTCTGTTTCCCACCATATATATATATGTATGTATGTATATATGTATTTCCCCCCCTTCTCCCCACCCCCGGAACTAGGGATCGAACTCAGGACGTTGCACTTGCAAGGCAGGCACAGTTGCCACTGAGCTAAAACCCTAGCCCCTGATTTCCCACTATTATAGCAGGTTTGATAATGCTTAATTTGGTGAACTTAATGAATCTGGAGACGGAAGAAGCATGAGCTTACAAAAATTAATGTAAAGCTAAGGAGATATAGAAACATACTTGCATATTAAACTGCAAAGCATAAAACCTACCAGTAGTGTCTGTCCTTGGGAAATGAAGAAGTGGCCTGATATAACTATGGTGAGAACAAGATATCCGGATTCTTCACTGGAATCAAAAACCTTAAGAAACAGACAGAGAGAAATGTTTTAAAAAATATTTCTGTAATCCTGATAAACTTACTGTTGTAATAACCAAACGAGGTTCTCATATTCATGCATGCAGTAGTGTAGCCTACCATCACACTAACCTTTTCAGGGGTACAATAAAGTAACATGTAGCATCACCTACGTTTGAAGCATGAAAGATTTTACTTTTCCTTTCTTCATCTTAAACCTAAATATAAGACCTTGGATTTACCCCCTTTATATTTGATCTTGTTAGATTTGGTCTATAGTTCCAACCTATTAAGCTGTAGTGAGGAGCTGAGGCAATAAAAGTAGCGGGGAGGGCATGACCAATACACATGTCGAGAGTGGGATTGGGTCTTCAGTGACTACTGTGTAGGTGGTTTTAATATCATTAACAAGCATGATATAGTATATATCCCTTATAAATAATGTGATAAATTATAATATACTTAATGCCCAAAGTTCAAAGTAATTAACATATAGCTAACTTGACTTAGTTATATTTTTATAAGGTCTTACATTCCACTGAGATATAATGCTCTATCTTAAAGTTTCATATGTGAAGTTTAGAGCTTTACTACTATATTTAAATTCACTAATTTTCTATTGAGTTCTAATTCATTTTAAATCCCAAACTTAAAGAGCAAACATTTTCAGTGTCAAAGGGAATATGCTAAGCCCTACACAAACTCTTTGGTGGCAGTTATTTTGCCTCTTTCCTGGAATTGGGAACTTGCAAAGCCCACCACAGCCTACATGGATTATCTTGTATGTTTCATGATCACATAGAACGAGAAGGATAGCTAGAAGTCAAGCACAGCTTTCAAAACTAGAGTCGAGACAACAAATTCTTTAGTGAAGATAATGTTAACACGTCAGTTTAATTTTTTAAAAGAAATATGACATGTATACCAAAAAGTATCCAAAACATAAATGTATATAGAAAAATGAATGATGAATCAAGGAAACACATCATAACCGCTGGATGAAGAAACACAACATTACCAGACTTCCAGAAGGCCCTCTGTGCTGTCTTCAATCACTACCTGCTTCTTCCTCCCCTAAAATAATCTCCATCCTGGCTTCTAACAACACAGTTTAGTTCTGTTTACATAAGTAAAATCACACAGAAAGAATTTTACATTTGGCTTCATCAATGTTGCATGTACATTGATTTTCATTATGTCCAAGGCCTTTCTACGACTATACCACAATTTTTTCTTCTTATTGGTATTCTTCCCAGTATAGATCTACTACAAATAATGCTTCTGTAAACATTCCCATAAATGTCTCTTGCTGGATAGGAACACTTAGTACAAGGATGATGATTCTTCCCAAAATATTTTTATAATTTTTTTCAAATGGTGACCAATGACTTCCAGGAGAATCCCAGATTAGACTTCTCTCCCGCTATGCCCTAAACTGTCACTTCTAGTTCCCAACCAACATCTCTCCATGTGAAGTTCTAACAGTCATCTCAGAATTAAAAGTCCTAACCTTGAATTCCTAATCTTCTGATTCATTTATTCACTCAATACTTGCAAAGCACATTCCACATGCTAGCCTGTTTTAAGCATCTGACTCCACAGTTCTTCCATCTCTGAAAGTAATTCTGTCCTTCTATTTCTTTAGACCCAAACCATGGGCCAATCATTTCTTTTCTCATATCCATATCCAATCCACCCATCAAATCCTTCATATCTATCATCAAAATATCGAAAACCCAACCACTTCTCATAGTCTGAGTGATCACACCTGCTAGCTGGATTATTACAATAACCTCCTGACTAGCTTCCCCAATTCCGCTCTTCCTTCTCTCCAACACAGTTTACCATATCTGCAACAGAGTAGCCAGAGTTAGCCTTTTAAAACTACACGGTCAGATCAAGTCATTTCCAACTCAAAGCCCTGGAGTGGCTTTCCAGCTCATTCCCAAGCCTCTTTGCTTCCCTGCTCTCCCCCAAGCACAATGGCTTCCTCCCTGCTTCCGGAACCACCAGGCATATTTATGACTATAAACCCTATGGCTTCACAAGAGTTGTTTAGCTGGAATTCTCCTCTCCTGGACATCCACAGGAGTCATTCTTGCATCTCCTTCAGGTTTTTGTCTCGAGGAAAGACCTTTCCTAACCATCTTGCTGAGAACTCCCCATCACCAGACCTGCTACTCCTTCTTCAGTTTTATTCTTCTCCATACCTCTCCTTTTTCATTATATTTACCTATTTTTTATCTGTCTAACCTGAGCAGGATTTAATCTTCATGAAGATAGACATTTTTTTTCTGTTTTAGTCGCTACGAATGCCTAAGATAATGCCTGCCACATAATAAGTACGCAGGATATTTTGACTGGATAAGTGAATATGAAATTTCCAAAGGGTCGGAGATTTAGCTCAGAGCAAGGTCCTGAGTTTAATCCCCGGTACTGGAAAAAAAAAAAAAAAAAGAAAGAAAGAAATTTCCAGTGAAGGCACCAGATTAAAAAGCAAGCTTTTCAAAGGAAACAAAGATGTTTTCAGAAAGAATCGCTAGATCTGCACTGAAAAAAAAAGTTGAAGTCTTTCAGGCAAAAAGGAAATAGTATCAGATGAAAAGTGAGAGCTCCATAATAGAATGAAAAGTGGAAACAATAATTACATGAATAATTATGTAAACGTTTATTATGTAAATATCTTTAAAATAACATTGATAAATGAGGTTATAAACAATACATAATTAATTCAAAAAAAGGCAGAACAAAAAGAGAACAAAGAACAGACCAGATAAATACATGATAACAAAATGATAAACTTCACCATATCAATAATCACAATAAACACAAATAGTTTAAACACCCCAATTAAAAGGAGAGGTTGTCAGATTGGATACAAAGACAAAACACAACTATATGCTACCTATAAGAAATATACTTTAAATATAAAAACGTAAAATGGAAGGGCCGGGGATTTAGCTCAGTGGTTTCACCACCTGCTGCACAAATGAAAGGACCCGAGTTCAACTCCCAGTACCCAAAAAAAAAAAAAAAAAAAAAGATGGAAAATATGCATCGTGCTAATGCTACTTAAAAGAAAGCTGGAGTGGTTATAGCATATCAGATGAGAATAGCAAAAGGTAAAGAGAAGGTCATTTCATAATGATAATTAGGTCAGTTAAGAAACATAAACATCCTAAACATTTATGCTTCCAACAACAGCTTAAAAATACATGAAACAGTATGGGGTAGAACTATAAGAAGAAACAAATCTACGTTTAGAGTCAGATTTCTATACCCTTCTCAATAACTGATAGAACAAGTACATAGAAATTATCAAGTACAAAGAAGCTTGTACTGCTGCGCAGGTGCAAGGACCTGAGTTTGATCCCTGGTACCAAAAACAAAAAAGCTTGGAAGAAATTACCAGCTAACATGACCTAACTGATGTTTATACAACACTCTACCCAACACCCATACTAGCACAAAACATATTTTTCTCAAGTGTACACAGAACATTCACCAAGACAAACTACTGTGGATCACAGAACAAGTTTTGGTAAATTTTGACTTCACTAAAAAACTGTTGGATCAATAAATTTAATAAGGTTACAGGATACAAAAATCAACATACAAAAATTAGTAGCATATCTATACAGTAATAGCAAATTACCTAAAAATCAACAAGTACCATAACTATATATATTTAAAAAACTATGTAGGAAGGAATAAATTTAGCCAAGAAAGTGAAAGATTTCTACACTGAAAACTATAAAATAATGAAAGTGAAGATGACATAAATAAATGCAAAGACATTCCATCCCCGTGTAGTGAAAGATTGTTGAAGAGGCCACACCACTTAGTGGCCTACAGATTGAATGCAATCCACATCAACAAAGTAATCTTGAATCCAGATGTAGTGTTGCACACCTATAAGCCCAGCTACTCAGGAGGCTGAGGCAGGAGGATTACAAATTTGAGGTCAGCCTGGGCAACTTAGTTAGACCTTATCTCAAAATAAAATATAAAGGGCCAGGCATTTAGCTCAGTGGTGCTGCTGCCTGCCTCGAAAGCACACGGTCCCAAATTCAATCCCCGGTACACACACAAAAAAATTTTTTAAATATATATATATATCTATATGGGGCCAGGGTGGGGGTATCACTGAGAGAGTGAACAAAGACCTGAAGCTATGAGAGAGTTAACCAGTCAGATCTGTTAAAACCCCTTTTAAGAGGTCTATACAGTGAGCTCATACAGTTCATCAGGTCTAATTTAAGAATTTTTAAGGGCTTCAGGAAAAATGGTAGCTTTACTACATCCTTACACTCTTTCCTTCCCTAATCTAATCCAAGTGGATTAGCCCACCGTAGTCCACAATTTGGTGGATTAGCCCAACAAATGGTGGGTGGAGGTCTCAGATAAATGAAGTTGGTGTAACGTGTTCCCTCTCTGAGAAAGGAGTCCCAGGGCAAGGACAAGGCTACTGTTCTTGGGAGAATGTTGCCAAAGAAAATCGGTGGACCTCAAGGACGGGGGTAGCACCAAACTCTGTGTTTTTAAGCCCCTACTGGTCTCTCAGTCTCCAAGGAGTCACAATGCATCTGGACAACTTCAGTAAGTCCTTCCTAATTCTCTGCAGGTGGCCCAAAGGACCATGCTGTGCATCACACAACACTTAGCACTTAAAAGTGTCCCCTGACAGACTTTGAGGCACAGGATGAAAAGACTCAAGTAAGTTAGACAAAGGAGAGTAGCTACATACACAACAGGCAGAGGCAATGAAGAACAATCAGGAAACCCACAACAGGCAGCTCCTAAGAACAAACTTGTTAGAGATCAACAATTGAATCAAAATAATAATTATAAGGGAAACCTTGGCGCTAAAATGTTTTATAAATATAAAAATTCAATAGCTAATTGAAGAATTGGATGGACACTAGTGAGAGCAAATTAATAGTTTGAAAGATCAAACAGGAGAAATATTTAGAACTGCAGAACAAAACCACAAAGAAAAATTCA